GAAGGCAGGTCTGACCCATGCTATCACACTGGCCACAAGGTGGCATAGGGAATTTTGAAAAACTATTTAAGGGCTATCAGAATTATAAAGTTCATACATGCAGTAACCCATTGTTTCAAATACCTGTTAAGAATAAAGTAATAATCTGGGTTTGAACAATTTACCAACAATTTACAAGACTAAGCCCACTAGTCAGGAAAAAACACAGATGAAAATGGGGAAAGGGTGCAGGGACTTATACCTGAATATTGGTCACAGGCCCTGCTTTTTCTTTCCATTCCAGAGGCTAGGTCTAGACTTCAGGCTTCTTTCGGAAGAACCTTTTTTCTGGAAGAGATCTTCCGAAAAAACTTCTTCTGAAAGAGAGTGTCCACATACAAAGCACATTGAAAAAGCGATCTGCTTTTTCAAAAGATAGCATCCATTCACTGTGGACGCTATGCAACATTTAAGCTGTGATTATTATGGATGGAGTGGACACCAGGGCACCTGTGCTTCTTCCTTCCTCTTCTCCAAAAGAACTCCCACTTCCCCGTCCACACACGCCTTTTTCCAAAAGAGCTCTTTCAGAAAAAGGCTTCTTCCTCATACAAAGAGGATTACCAAAGCCGGAAAAAAAAACCCCTCTGTTCTTTTGATGTACTTTCAGAAGAACACAATTGCAGTTTGGATGTAACACAGACTCTGTAGTGTAGACATACCCAGAGCCCCCTAGCTGTTAGAAAAAGTAAGGGTCTCAGATACTCTTAGCATCACTGAGAATCTATTAGTGGCTGTCAGGAAAAAAGAATTCTCTAGAGACTTGTTGATTTAGGCCTTCCTTCTTGGGAATAACTATAGCATATATCTCTACAGCATAGCTCTACCAAACAGAAGCTGCACTACAAGGGAGGTGATTCTTATGATCACTGAAATCTGAACAGCATCAATAAAACTGATTAGAATCTTGTTAATTTCATGCTGCTGCTGAGCATAGCAGAACTACAGCTTACAGGGTTTCTAATAAGTTTGAATTTACAGAAGCTTTGTCTTAGGCCTCCACGCTTACCAGGGATCATTTTCCACTCATTGCTAATATAAGAAGGGTTTGAGAAATCCATGTAACTACCAAGAACAATATTTTGTTACAGAAATTAAAGTCATAATTTAAAACTGTTTTCACAGAGTTTCTCTATAGAATATTAAAAAAGTTAGTGCCAGTAATGCCAAGCTTGCAATTATGGTGCCAGCATATTACATGTTCCTTCTACTTCATTAATTAAAGCTGGAAGACTAAACAATGCTAGATAAAGTCTCAATCTTTCAGCATTATACCTGTATAACAAAAGAAAGATTATGGTAGAAGCTGTCTCCACTCATACCTCTCTTCAAGGAATCTTTCTAGCTTTTAAAGACATACAGTAACTCCTCACTTAATGTTTTAGTTATGTTCCTGAAAGATTATGTTAATTGAACCCAGTTTTTTCATAAGAATTAAAGAAAAGAAAAAGGGGGATTAAGTCCGAAGGAAATTTTTTTTGCCAAACAAAAGGCATTATATACATAAACAGCATGGCTCCTTCTACACTGGCATGATTTTCTGGAAATGCTTTTAACGGAAAAGTTTCCGTTAAAAGCATTTTCGGAAAAGTGCATCTAGATTTGCGGAAAAGCGTCCTGCTAAAGCACTTTTTGCGGAAAAGCATCCGTGGCCAATCTAGACGCGCTTTTCCGCAAAAAAGCCCTGATCACCATTTTTGCGATTGGGGCCTTTTTGCGGAAAAGAAATCTCTGCTGTCTACACTGGCCCTTTTGTGCAAAAGTCTTCCGGAAAAAGACTTTTGCCCGAATGGGAGCAGCATAGTATTTCCGCAAAAGCACTGACAATCTTACATGAGCTCGTCAGTGCTTTTGCGGAAATTCAAGCGGCCAGTGTAGACAGCTGGCAAGTTTTTCCCGCAAAAGCAGATGATTTTGCGGAAAAACTTGCCAGTCTAGACACAGCCCATAAGTATAAACAATTTAATGCAAGTTTTAAACAAAAAATATTGCAGGGCTGTGCTCCTCCCTGCTCTGTGCATGTAGGGGCAGAGATGCAGCTCATTAGTAGGTGGAATGTGGATATCCAGCTGAGGATGCTGTCCCAAGAAGGAACTTGGCCCATGAAAATTTCATAGCACCTGAACAGCCAAACACCACTGTGGGACCCTAGGAAAAGCAGCATGGAAGAGAAGGGAAGAGGTCAAAGTGCCCTACTCCTGCTGCAACTGCAGGCAGTTCTTGGGGTTGGATACAGCCAGCTGAGCCTAATGGATGACCCTGGTACCTCCTCTAAGAAAGGTGCTATGCCTTACTCCAGGGGCGGGGAACCTCAGGCCCGGATGTGGCCCTTGGCTTGCCTAGAACCAGCCCCTGACACTCAGGGCCACCCTCAGCGTTTGGGAACCTGCGTAGGTGCTCCAGTCACTCCATGGCACTGAAGCACACAAAATCTACTAGGCTGGGTCTCCCTAGGCTCTGGTATGCAAGGGGAATGTGGGGAGTGTCTTTGAGGGCCATAGCAAGGTTTTTTTTCCCCCACTTCTCACTTGTGTGCAGCCCACAACTGATTTTTCTCTGGGTCAGCAGCCCCTGACTCAGAAAAGGATCCCCATCCCTGGACAGGGGAAATGCCTTCCCTGCTATGCCTCCAGCAATCACCTAGGTGTTCTGTACACAGGCTGCCCGGGGAAAGAGAACTATCCCAGCCCGCAGTAGGTTGGAGCCAGGTCAGAAGTGCCTCTTTATGGCCGCTACAGCTGCAATGGGCACAACTGGGGAAGGGCTGCCTGTCCCCTGGGTGGGACAGGTTCAGGTTTGTCTACCCCCAGCACTCCCCAGCTAGAGTGAAGAGTATCACTAACAGTGCACTTTCCCCGGCTCCTTGATGAAAGGGTACAGCCAGCAGAGTTCCCATATGAATCGGGGGGGGGGGGGGGGGGGGGGG